TTTGATTTGCATGGAATATCTTTTTCCATCCCCTCACTTTCAGTCTGAATGTGTCCCTAGGTCTGAAGTGGATCTCTTGTAGACAGCATATATATGGGTCTTGTTTTTGTATCCATTCAGCAAGCCTGTGTCTTTTGGTTGGAGCATTTAATCCATTCACATTTTAAGGTAATTATTGATATGTTTGTTCCTATTACCATTTTCTTAATTGTTTTATGTTTGTTTTTTAGGTCCTTTTCTTCTCTTGTGTTTTCCACTTAGAGAAGTTCCTTTAGCATTTGTTGTAGAGCTGGTTTGGTGGTGCTAAATTCTCTGAACTTTTGCTTGTCTCTAAAGCTTTTGAATTCTCTGTCGAATCTGAGTGAGATCCTTGCTGGGTAGAGTAATCTTGGTTGTAGGTTCTTCCCTTTCATCTAAGTATATCATGACACTCCCTTCTGGCTAGTAGAGTTTCTGCTGGGAAATTAGCTGTTAACCTTATGGGAGTTCCCTTGTATGTTATTTGTCATTTTTCCCTTGCTTCTTTCAATAATTTTCTTTGTCTTTAATTTTTGCCAGTTTGATTACTGTGTGTCTTGGTTTGTTTCTCCTTGTGTTTATCCTGTATGGGACTCTCTGTGCTTCGTGGACTTGGGTGGCTCTTTCCTTTCCCATGTTAGGGAAGTTTTCAACTATAATCTCTTCAAATATTTTCTCGGGTCCTTTCTCTCTTCTTCTGGGACCCCTATAATGTGAATGTTGTTGTGTTTAATGTTATCCCAGAGGTCTCTTGGGCTGTCTTCATTACTTTTCATTCTTTTTTTCTTCATTCTCTTCCGCAGCAGTGAATTCCACCATTCTATCTTCCAGGTCACTTATCCATTCTTCTGCCTCAGTTATTCTGCTGTTGCTTTCTTGTAGTGTATTTTTCATTTCAGTTATTGTGTTGTTCATCTCTGTTTGTTCTTTAATTTTTCTAGATCTTTGTTAAACATTTCTTGTATCTTCTCGACCTTTGCCTCCATTCTTTTTCTGAGGTCCTGGATCATCTTCACTATCATTATTCTGAATTCTTTTTCTGGAGGGTTGCCTATCTCCTTTTCATTCAGTTGTTTTTCTGGGGTTTTATCTTGTTCCTTCATCTGTTACATAGCCCTCTTCGTTTTAATCTTGTCTATCTTTCTGTGAATGTGGTTTTTGTTCCACAGGCTGCAGGATTGTAGTTCTTCTTGCTTCTGCTGTCTGCCCTTTGGTGGATGAGGCTATCTAAGAAGCTTGTGCAAGTTTCCTGATCAAACCATCCTTTCTTATTGATTTTTTGTTGTGTATTTTTAGAAGCGTGTGATTATATCTTTGTTTTCCTCAGTATTCCAGCTTAGTTACTTGTATTCAAGATGGTGTTTGTCTTACCACAGTTTTCACTGTTAATTGCCTTCTGCAGCCTAAGATGTAATCTTCTGGTTTATCTTAGTACAAACTTCTTCTAAATTATCTAAGTCAGGGGTCCCCAACCCCTGGTCCATGTACTGGTACTGGTCTGCAGCCTGTTAGGAACTGGGCCGTACAGCAGGAGGTGAGCGGCAGGTGAGCATGCAAAGCTTCCTCTGCCACTCCCCATCGCTTCCATTACTGTCTGAACTATCCCCCACCAATTTTTTTTTTTTTTGGCTGCGCTGGGTCCTCATTGCAGTGCGCGGGCTGCTCATTGCAGTGGCTTCTCTTATTGTGGAGCATGGCGCGTGGGCTTCAGTAGTTGTGGCGCGCGGGCTTAGTTGCTCCTCAGCATGTGGGATCTTCCCAGACCAGGGATCGAACCCATGTCCTCTGCATTGGCAGGCGGATTCTTAACCACTGCACCACCAGGGAAGCCCCTCCCCTTCCAATTTTTTATCCATGATAAAATTGTCTTCATGAAACTGGTCCCTGGTGCCAAAAAGGTTGGGAACCGCTGATCTAAGTAATGTTGTTTTAAAGAATACTGTTTTATTAAATATTGAATAGATGAAACAAATAAAAATATTTTATGATATAAAAAACCCAATGTCCACATCTAGTTAAAAAAAAAAATCCCACTGCCTAAATAAAGTCCCCTGGGTGCCCATCTCCAATCCCCATCCTCTTCCTTCTGCCATCAGAGTAACCATGCTCATGAATTTTGTGTTTATCGCTAACTTACCTTTATATTTTACCATATGTATTTATATTCCTAAGGAGCATATTGTTTTGTTTTACATGTCTGTTTATAATAAAGTGAAATAATTGTGTATTCTTTAGCAAGTTGATTTTTTTTGCCGACGTATTCCTGAGGTTCATCTAAGTTGTTTCATATACCTATAATTATTTTCACTGTTAAATGTTAAAAATTTATCCATTTTTGTGATGTGTTGGGCATTAGGGTTGTTTCTACTAGTTAACTGTTACAGTTATAAAATATTTTGGTATGTGTCTTCTGGGGACACATGTAAGAGTTTCTCTAAGTGTTGTACCTAAACCTTGAATTGCTGAATCATAAGGCATGCCTATCTTCAGCTTACGATAAAATGCCACATAGTTGTACTAATTACACTTCTGGCAGTCAGTGTGTATAATGGTGCATATGTCTATACATCTTCACCAATACTTGACATTGTCAGGCTGCTTAATTTTTGCGTCTGGTAGGTAGAAACTTTTGTTTCATTTTGGTTTTAATTTTTATTTCCTAGATTAATGATGAGTAGCAAAAGGCTTCTGCTACTTCACTTATTTTTTTTTTCAATTTTCTTTTTTGTTATAAACACCATACCAAATTTTAAAAAGCTGTTTGAACACAGAAAAATATCGTAGTTCTTGATTTCCCACATGTACTTAAGGCAACCTTGCTGTGCTTCCCAGCTCCTTCCCTGGACACGGCGGGTTGATCAAGGGAAATGGGGTTTTCAGGTGGGGGCGCTGGGGGCTACCTTCATCTTTATTTACCAGGTGGCCTCTTTTGATTCTTTCATGCTTTTTCTGTAGGCAGTCAAATCAAAAGAGAAAAAGTAGTTTTTCTTGCCTTGTTGCCTAAGCTCTATAATATTGCTTAGAAATGGCAATAGTGGTGGTAATTGCACACATTATGAATGTACTAAGTGCAAATTGTACTCCTTAGAATGGTTTAAATGGTGAATTTTACCTCAGTAAATTTTCTTTTTACATTTACATTGGTGATACCTATTTTAAATTAAAGAATATATATACATATACATGTGTGTGAGTAGGTATAGGCCTAGACTTAATATCATCTTGATTATTTTTCTTTCCACCTTCATTTTGTCCTAGCTTCTCTTTCTTCATTAATTAGAAATCAGAGTTATATGTTTTATTTTCTGCCATGACTGAGGTCAAGGTTAACTTAGTTGGTCATTTTATGCTCTAGTTAGATCTTGGCCTTTAATTCTCTTTGATACTGAGACCGAGATCCTCTCCTTCTTTTTAAATATGATTGCCTTAACTATGCTTTAAACCTCCACTAATACTAATTTGTATTCCTAGTCCTAGTCCTTAATGTAAAGACTATCCAGGCTGCCAAGCTGTTTTATAACCCTGTTTTCCTATGCCAATTTCACCATTGTTTTCCCTTTTACACTGCTGCTTCTGGTGGTACATACTACCATTATCTCATTAAACCTTCATATTTTGTTAGGTCTATTTCTAGGCATCTTAAAACAGTTACTAAAGAGAATCATCTTTTCGTACTATTAGGAAAGAATAAAGGAAGTAAAGTTAAACATCTTTTCAGGCTTATAAATTATATAGCTTAACTATTTTAATTATTGTATTTAATTTCTTGCTGGAATTTCAGTGACATTGGTAGAGTCTTAACACAGCCAGTTAACAATATGTTCATGGTATATATGCATCTGTCTGGCCCTTGGTTCTCAAAGAACATCAAGGTCTTTGTGTTTCTTTTCTCTGAATATTAGAAGTGCCTTTTCTAGTAATACATGAAGTATAAGTAAATGAATTCTCCCTTTTTCATTTTTAGGAACCCCTCAATAGTGAAGATGATGTGAGTGATGAGGAAGGACAGGAACTCTTTGATACAGAAAATGTTGTTGTATGCCAATATGATAAGGTAAGGGTTTTATGATCAGGCTACTGACATTTTTTCTGTTGTAATTTCTTCCCTAAACCATCCTGTCTGCCTTGTTCAAGCATTTGGTCAGCTGATTGATGCCTCTTATATTCAGTATAAACAGTGTGAATGAAAACAATGTTATAGTTTAGTTAGATTATTTTAATAGAATGAGAAATTAATTTGCATAACTTTACAGTTGAAAAAAAAGTTATGAAAGAACTCATGGGAAGTATGTTGTTTTCAATTTAGACTGTCTCCCAACCTGTTAACAAAGTAAAGCTACTTTGTGGTTGTCCTTTACCATGAATAGTAACTCAGTGGGATAACCCTGTTTTCCCTCTGACTTCAACTACCTCAAAACTAAAAGGCTTTAATTAAATTTCTGTAACCTTTTTTTATTGCTAAGGAGAAAAGAACAACGGCAAAAAACAAGACTGATAACTAAAAAAAGATACATTTTTACTGAAAATTGTTTTAAATTATTTAGCTTTGCTGTACTTTGGTAGCAGTAAAAAATTTTTAAACTAGGTTCTATGAGAATTAGTTATTGATTCCTTAATTCTTAAAAAGGATGCTACTTCCCAAGTATTTTTGATATAGTTATTGGCATTGTTAAAATTTTGGTTATTTGCTGAAACATTTAATTTGGAATAAATTTTTTTTTCTGGTTATAATCATTAAATTTATAGTAAATCCACAAATTATATTGCATTTTTATAATTTAATTTTAGCAGAGGTCTTTAAAATGTGCTGAAAACTCTAACAGAAGTAGTTGGGTTTTGTTTATAAGCACTACTCATTCAGTAAACGTATATTTATTAAGTGCCTAAATGTGTCAGGTATTGGAGCTGAAGTCATTATTATACAAGATTTGTGCCCTACATGCCCTCCTTTACAAATGATGAAAATCTTAAATTTGTGTTGCTTTTATAGAAATGAATATTATAAATAGCCATGTTTACTGCAAACAGATCTATAGGGAAAATGTTAAGAAAATAAATCTTATCATTTCCTAATGAAAAGGTAAAGTCAAGAGAGTTGAATACCCGTGAAATTATAGAATTAAATTAGTGAGGTCATTGATTCAGAGTTATCAGGCATCCATTTTTGTACATTATGACTGCTAAGTAAACACTTTTAATACCCTACACCAAGCACATTATAATAAAAGTAATTTCTCATTACATGCACATAGAGGAAGCGTATTGAAGTTAAAACAATGGGAGATACCAGTAAATCTTTATTGCCAGGAAGACTCAAGGGAACCTGTTGGCAGCCAAATTATCCAGGGCACAGTTTCATGATAGCAAGATGTCAGATTTATCAGTCAAGAGAGGACCTTTACCTTAGCTTGGCTTAAGAATATGCTTCTAAGTATTTTCACATTATAAGTGACTAGTTGTATTCTCCTTTGTACACTTAATATTTTAAATGTTAAAATTGGTTTGTTTTGCTCCAAGAGACAATATTTTAATGTTTTAAACTAAGAAATTAAAAAATAGATTTAAATAGTGTGTTGAATGATAAACAGTTATAAAGTTTGCAGAGATCTAATTTTTATAATCAAATGAGTTCTGGAGACTGGAGGGTTGAGTCTTGATGTTTTAGCCAACAGTAAAGAATGGTGTGTTCTGAAATGGGTGTGGGTGTGGTTTGAGGCAACTTGAACTTTAGGAGTTTATTTTTGAAGACTAAACTTTAGAATTTCAACAACGAGTCAATTTTAGAAGCAATCATAGAGTTATTGTATTGCTAATCAAATGAGAGCCTTAAACTTAATAATGAGGCAGGGTTCTCCCATAAGTATGGGTGGATAGGGACTGATGGCATCAGGTATTGAGTCTTCAGCCTTATTTGTAGGTAATTTTATTTAATATGTTTGTCATTAGGAAATTTCAGAGGCCTTTTTCCTGGCACTCAGGACACTCCTTCAGGAAGGGCTTAATTTAAGGCCAATGAATTGTTAAGTTGTATTTTGTGATTTTATTCAAGTAAAAATATTTACTACTTATTACTCAATATGACTTCAGTGCTTAGTATATAGACTATTATTTGATTCATGAAACTTTTCTACATTTGCTTTTTGCAAGTTGTCTTGCAGCAGAATGCAGTCAGTTTCTTTACTTGTCTGTGGAATTCCTTTTTCTGGCTACTCAGCACTTGTTTGCTCATTTATTTATTTATTTTATATATATATCACTTGTTTATTTAATTCCATGTCTTTCAGGTTGTAGTCACTTGGTTTGTACTGGAAATAAATTTGTATATCCATTTTTAGGATAGTTAATACTTTCTCTACAGGAAGTCAAAAGAAAAGAGGAGACAGATATCTTTTTATTCAAAAAATACTTACAGAGTGTCTATGATGTCCCAGGGTACTATTCTAGGAACTTGAGATACACCAGTGAACAAAACAAAACAATCTCTGCTATTGAGAAGCTTACTCTAGTTGAGGGAGACAGATGTTAAAACATAACAAACAACAAATAAATTACGGTTGACTCTTGTACAATGCTGGGGTTAATCAGCATGTAACATATAGGCAGTCCCCTGTATCTGCGCTTCCTCCACATGCATGTAGTCATCCAACCACAGACCACTTAATTCTGTAGTATTTACTATTGAAAAATACCTATGTATCTCTGCACTTCCAAACCCATACTGTTCAAGGTTCAACTGTAATTAATATGCTATGCTAGAAGCTGATAATTGGTATGGGAAATTATTAGAGTGGGAAAACGGAACAGGAACAAAGACTTGAAGAAAGTTAGCCCTGTCATTATTCAGTGGCATAACCTGCCTGTTGTGTGTGAGGAGCAAAAAGGAGGCCAGTGTAACTGGACTTGGGGGAGTAGTATAGTAGTAGATTAAGTCAGGGCTAGGTGAAGGCAGATGGTGTAGGAGGACATGGGCTCTTCCTCTGAGTGAATTGGGAAGCTATTGGAAGGTTTCAAATAGACAAAAGTGATATCACTTACATTTTAATCTTAAAAAGATTACTTAGCTTTCTTTGTGAGAGCAGAGAAGAAGCAAAGGTTGAAATGAGGTTAATAGAGGGATATTGTCATAATCCAAGTGAGTGATAATGGTGACTGAGGCTAGGATGATAGTACTGGAAGTGGTGAGAAGCAGCTGGATCTTGGATGTTTTGAAGGAAGAGTCAACAGGATTTCCTGACTCTTGTATGTGCAGTAGAAAAGGAGGGATCAAGAATGAGTACAGGAATTTTTTTTGATGAGGAATCAGACAGAAGCATGGAGATACCATCAACTTGGATGGGAAAGGCTGCAGATGGAGCAAGTTTGGGAAAGGAGAGTGGCTGGTTTTGGGCATGTTAAGTGTTGTATCTGTTAAGACATTCAAATCATCCATCCTAAGGTGTTAGGTGTAATAATCTACATAATGTAATTAGACCAGAGCTATAAGACCACTTAATGCTGGAGTCTCTGTCCTGAATACTGTTTCACTTTATTGTACTCTATTTTGTTTTAATAAGTGAGAAAAAATTGACACATGTTAAATTTATACATAGCTTAAGTTAGTGATCTAGAGGAAAGGTATGGGAGTGATTTTCAAACATACAAAGTATTTGATTGTTTTTTAAATTAACTCCCAAAAGGCAGAACTACGATCAATAAGTAGAAGTTTGGAGTAAGCAGTTTTAGCAAGGGGTAAAGTATGAAAGAGTTATAAGAGAGCTATCCCAGGAAGGGATAACTTAATTTGCAGTTCTTTACCCCCCACTTTTAACCATACTCAAGCAGACACCGAACAGTGATTTGCTAAGAATGTGTCATGGAGGCTGTCTGCACAGGGATGTTAGACCATGGAATTTTAGCAGTGGGATAAGAAAATACCTGTATATAGTGAGAATTTCTGCATTATTATATAAAACAGCCTGATTAGTAGAAAGCATCTTGGACTGGGGCAAGAGAATCATCTTTGTCACTTAACTGTGATATGCCCTTGGTCATGCCATGGAACCTCTCCAGGCTACAATTTTCTCTTTTGAACATGAAAGCCTGAAGTGGCAGTGATACTTAAAAGATGATTGGAAGGAAGGGAGAGAGTGAAGTCCTGGAAATCAACTAAGGGATATTGTAATAACTCATACGACAAGAGGCTGTTGACATGGTAACTAGAAGATTATTGATGGCCTTTTAGAAAACAGTTGCCAGGTGTCCTGAAGACAACTAAAATAGAATTAGAGAGAAAGTAATAATTAGAGAAATACTAATATTAGTGTGAATTCTAATACAGTGGGGCCACGGTATTAAAAAGGTCAGTAATATGGAAGTTGTTACTGTCTGTGAGGAAGAAGAAGAGAGTAGTTGTAAACATGATACCAATATTGAAAAGATAGTGTCCTGGTGGTCAGTAGATAAGAGGAATGAAGAAAAGCCTAAGGTCAAATCAATGGCATAGACATAAAAGGAGTTATAGAGAAAAGACAAAAAAAAATGGTCTAGAAGCATCAGGGAGAACAAAGGGTATTGCTGTTTGAAATATTTGCCAGTATAAAATTTCCTATGAAATGACATGTATACACATACCTGGTAGAGGTAAGATATTTTTCAGAGAAATATTATTAACTACTTTAATGAACACAAGTACTGAGAGCTATAAAATAAGTATTACTAATTATAGATAAATTTATTTTTGAAAAACACACCTAGTGAATTTTTTTTTTAAGAGAGGTTGTCAAATTAAACTATTAAAAACCAATTTGACCGCAGTGGTATTAAACTAGAGATCAATTAGATGGAGATTAAATATGCTACTGAACAACCAATGGGTCAAAGAAGAAATCAAAAGAGAACTAGAAAAATACCTTGAGACAAATGAAAATGGAAATATAACATACCAAAACTTGTAGAATGCAGCAAGAGCAGTTGTAAGAAAGAAGTACATAGAGAGAAATGCCTACATCAAGAAATAAGGAAAAATCTCAAATAAACAATCCAACTTTACACCTAAAGGAACAAGAAGAAGCCCAAAGTTAGTACAAGGAAGGAAATACAAAGATCAGAGTGGGAATAAATGAATAGAGACTAAAAAGACAATAGAAAAGATCAGTGAAACTAAAAGCTGGTTATTTGAAGAGATAAACAAAATTGACAGACCTTTAGTTAGACTCACCAAGAGAGAGAGGACTCAAATAAATAAAATCAGAAATAGATGTTACAGCTGATAACAGAAATATAAAGGATCATAAGAGACTACTATGAATAATTATACATTTACAAATTGGACAATCTGGAAGAAATGGATAAATTCCTACAAGCACACAACCTTCTAAGACTGAATCATGAAGAAACTGAAAATCTGAACATACTGATTACTAGTAAGGAGATTGAATCAATAATCAAAAACTTGCCAATAAACAAAAGTCTAGGGCCAGATGGCTTCATGGGTACATTCTACCAAACATTAATACCAATTAATGAATTAATACCAATCCTCAAACTCTTCTAAAAAATAGAAGAGGAGGAAACACTTCTAAACTCATTTTACAAGACCAGCATTACCCTGATACCAAAACCAGACAAGGATGCCACAAGAAAAGAAAATTACAGGCCAGTATCATCCTGATGAACATAGATGCAGAAATCCTCAACAAAATATTAGCAAACTGAATTTGCAATTTATTGAAAAGATCATATACCATGATCAAGTGGGATTTATTCCAGGGATGCAAGGAAGGTTCAACATCTACAAATCAGTCAGTGTGATACACCATGTTAACAAAATGAAGGATAAAAGTCATGTGATCATCTCAATAGATGCTGAAAAAGCATTTGACAAAATTAAACATAAAAAGTCTCAACATTAAGTTGGTATAGAGGGAACGTACCTCAACTTAATAAAGGACATATATGAAAATCCCACAGGTAACATACTCATCAATGAAAGGCTGAGAGCTTTTCCTCTAAGATTAGGAATAAGACAAGCATGCTCACTCCTACCATTTTTCCTCAACATGATATGGGAAGTCCTAGTCAGAGCAGTTAGGCAAGAAAAAGAAAGAAAAGACATCCAAATCAGAAAGGAAGAAGGGAAACTGTCACTGTTTGCAGGTGACATGATATTACATAGAAAATGCTAAAGACTCCACCAAAAAACTGTTAGAACTAATAAATGAATTCAGTCAATTTCAGGATACAAAAATCTGTTGAGTTTCTATACACTAATAATGAACTATCAGAAAGAGAAATTAAGAAAACAATCCCATTTACAGCTGCATCAAAAAGAAAAAAATATCTAGGGATAAATACAACCAAGGAGGTGAAAGACCTGTACACCAAAAACTGTTAAGACATTGATGAAAGAGATTGAAAAATACACAAGTAAATGGAAATATATTACTTGCTCATGGATTGGAAGACTTAATATTGTTAAATTGTCCATAATATCCAAAACAGTCTATAGATTCAGTGCAGTCTCTATCAACATTTCAATGGCATTTTTCACAGAAAGAGATCAAACAGTCCTAAAATTTGTATCAAACCACAAAAGACCCTGAAGAGCCATAGCAATCTAGAGAAAGAACAAAGGCATCATACTTCTTGATTTCAAGCTGTATTACAAAACTATAGTAATCAAAACAGTATGGTATTGGCATAGAAACAGACACATAGATCAATAGAACAGAAAAGAGAGCCCAGAAATAAACCCATTCCTGTGTGGTCAATTAATTTATGACAGAAGAGCAAAGAATATAAAATGAGGAAAGGACAGTCCCTTCAGTAAATGGTGTGGGGAAAACTGGGAAGCCACATGCAAAAGAATGAAACTGGACTACTATCTTTTATCATGCAAAATAATCAGTGCAAAATGACTTGAATGTAAGACCCGAAACCATAGAAGAAAGAAAACAGAGATGATAAGCTCCTTGACATTGGTCTTATTGGTGATTTTTTGATTTGACAAGAAAGCAAAGGCAACAAAAGCAAAAATAAACAAGTGGGATTACATCAAACGAAAAAGCTCTTGCACATCGGAAGAAACCATCAACAAAACAAAAAGGCCACTTGCTGAATTGGAGAAGATATTTGCAAAGGATATATCTGACAGTGGGTTGATACCCAAAATATACAAAGAACTCACACAATTCAACATCAAAACAAACAACCAACCCAATTTAAAAATGGGCAGAGGACCTGAATAGACATTTTTCCAAAGAAGACATACAAATGGCAAACAGATACATGAAAAGATGCTCCACATCAGGAATCATCAGGGAAATACAAGTCAACCACAATGAGGTATATCACCTCACACCTGTTAAAATGGCTGTTATCAAAAAGACAAGAATTAAAAAGGACGTGGAGAAAAGGGAACCCTGTGGTACCATTGGTGGGAATGTAAACTGGGATAGCTGCTATGGAAAACAGTGTAAACCTTCCTTTAAAAATTAAAAATAGAGGGCTTCCCTGGTGGCGCAGTGGTTGAGAGTCCGCCTGCCTATGCAGGGGACACGGGTTCGTGCCCCGGTCTGGGAAGATCCCACATGCCGTGGAGCGGCTAGGCCTGTGAGCCATGGCCGCTGAGCCTGTGCGTCCGGAGCCTGTGCTCCGCAACGGGAGAGGCCACAAACAGTGAGAGGCCCGTGTACTGCAAAAAAAAAAAAAAAAAAAATTAAAAATAGAACTACCATACAATCTAGCAATTCTACTTCTGAGTATTTATTAAAAGGAAACAGAAACACTGACTCTGAAAGATATGTGCATTCCCCCGTTCATTATAGCATTATTTACAGCAGCCAAGAATGGAAGCAATCTGGGTGTCCATCAGTGGATGAATGGATAAAGAAGCTGTGGTGTATGTATATGTACAGTTGAATATTATTCAGCCTTTTAGAAGAAGCCAGTCTTGCCATTTATGACAACGTGGATGGACTTTGCATTATGCTAAGTGAACTATCAGACAGAGAAAGACAAATACCATGTGATCTCATGTGGAATCTGAAACAAAAAAAGTGAACTTACAGATACAGAGAACAGACTGGTGATTGCCAGAGATGAGGGTTTGGAGGTAGGTGAAATGGGTGAAGGTGGTCAAAGATACAAAGTTTAAGTTATAAAATAAGTAATCAGGAGGATATAGTACAGCATGGTGACTACAGTTGATAACATTGTATATTTGAAAGTTACAAAAAGAGTAGATCTTAAAAGTTCTTGTCACAGGAAAAAAATTTGTAACTCTTTATGGTCTTTGTACACCTGAAACTAATACGTTACATGTCAGTTATATCTCAATTAAAAAAGAAACCAGTTTGCAATTGCAGTAATATACAGGTTTGATGTGTGAATGGTTTTTCTGTGGTTGTTTGTTTTCTCTTTTTATTTTATCTCATACATTTTTTACTTATTTATTTAGATACACAGAAGTAAAAACAAATGGAAATTTCATCTCAAGGATGGCATTATGAATCTTAATGGAAGAGATTATATATTTTCCAAAGCCATTGGAGATGCAGAATGGTGAAGAGTTGGTTCTTTTCTTTTATAAATAAAACAAAAGAAACTTAAAAAAAAAATTTAAAGTGGACAGTTTGAAACTTGGGACATATACCAACCAAAACTTAACTTCTGCATGTCAGAGAAGTGCAGTAGAAGCGGAGCTACTGGAACAAAGAGACCTTGACAACACAGACACTACTTCTAACTGGCAAGCCATGGAACTGTAGCACCTGGGGTTGTTGGGGTGGCGAGGGTTGGGATTTTGTGTAAGAAAACCGTAATTGTCGATTTTAAATACAGGTACCTGCCACTGGTAATTAGCATGTAAAGCTTGGTTTATATTCCTTCCTCCAACTTGAGTTCAGTCAGAAGATACTTGTTGGAATGAACTGAAGAAACTTCCCTTTTGATAGATTGAACCGAAACTGCTTATTGTACATGGTTATATTTGGTAAAAATTGCGTGTGAGCTTTTTACAAAAGGGTAAGAATATGTGTTGAATTTTAATTCACTTGTATAAGGAAACAATTTAGAACTCTCATAATAGGTCTTAAATATTTTTACTTGCTGTTCTCCTTCAGTAATATATACCTCTTCCTTCCCTGCTTTATGGAACATCTATTTAAGAGTTAAAGGAAGTAAACAGTGATCACAGTTTGGAGACAAAATTTACCCAGGAATGGGTATTTATTTTAATTAGGTTTTGAGACTCATTAAATGTAGTTTAAAGACTTGGGTCTCATCTGAGTTGAGCAGAATTAAAATAACTTCAATTTCCTAACAGAAAAATTGTATTTGTTTCTTTTAGCCCCCCCACCTTAAAAAGAAACCCCAGTGGCTCCTCAGGAATACAGTGTTATTGCACAAAGGTACCATCTAGCTGAAATTATATACATATGAATAGATAGATTTTTTTTCCTGTTGGGCTGAAGAGTATATGCTTATATATGTGTTTAGTCTTTAAGCTAAACAAACATTTAGATAACATTCTGTGCATTGATTGAAGCATTGGGCAGGTGGTGAGGACCTGGAATTTTATTAAACAATTTAGTAATTATAAAAGTTTTTTTGTGTTTACTAGTAAAGAATTTTAAAATGATTCTAAGTGAACACACTTTTAAAATGCAACTTTGTAATTTGAGGGAGAAATTTTGGGGTTAGAGGAGGGTGGGCCACTAAGTACATATTTACCTCTCTTTCATTTGGTGGCCCTTCCAGGCCATTGATAATATAGACATGGGCTCCAGTTTGCACATCGGGAAGAAAGCATAGAAATTTGACTTGTATATTAAAAATAATAGAAATGTTATATGATATTAAGAATGCATAGCTCTGTATTCTGTAAGGGGCTATAAAGAACAATGTGGCAGTGCTATGTTCAGTGTGAACGAGTTGCTTGGGAGAACTGTAGGAACTTGTGTATTCACCTTTGTTCTTACACCTAATTCTTTTCATGGTTTATTTTGACAAAATTCACATGTGTTTAACTTACTTGTATATTGATTTTTTTTTAAGTCTTCCATTTTTGTCTTCCTTTTATTTGCCTTTGTGTTTCCAGAAGTAACATAGAAACACTTTAAAGTACATTGCAAAGAAAAACTGTGAGGTATTATATATTGTTTTTCCTTTTTTAACACAAATCTTTAAACTTTCTTGAAAAGGCTAATCTTTTTTCTTTTTCTTTTTTTTTTGCCTGCTTCCCACCCCACATACCACCTTGGTCCCTTTAACTTATGTTCTGAACTTTGGTATAAATGTGGTTTCTAGCATGCTAGTAGTTAGGTTTTATTTAGATGCCATAACTGGTGATACGGTTTTAATTTTTACTATATTAATTTAGTTTTCTGGAGGTTTATTTGTTTACCCCACTATGCTCAAAGCACACACAGGTTTGTTTGTTTTTTTAATTAATGAGACTGGGAGGAGAGAAGGGAGAGGGGGTAAAATCACAGAAGTCCTGTTGTTTGTTTGCCCTTGAGTATAGTTGCTAGTAGGTTTATATTTACCCAGTGAAGAAGTCAATGACCTGAACTACCTATAAAAGTTTAGCATTGCTGCCGTGTTGATTAAAACCCTTTCGCTATCTAGTAGTTCTTATGCTACTGAACCTTGGATTACTGTATGATATTCAGCTTATATTTTGGGCTATGTAGACGAAAACATTCGTTTTCATAATAGAATTGTATACTGGCCTGTTTTTATACTCAAACATGAACAACCACTGCTTTCAGAGTGACTCATTAGGGTTATTTTGAAGCAGGAAATAGCCATTTATATTTGCACCTGTGTATATTGCATATTAATTATGACATACTTGGCAAGTGCTTTTCTTTTACCTGTGAATATTCTGAAAGCTGGTCCAAACAACACTGCATACCAAATTGTGCTCTTATATATTACTGCATCGTGTTCCTTTTTAACCAAATAGCATGTTTTAGTTTTATTATAGTGGCTTGCTATAAGAATGCCACTTGCTTATCTTTTATTGTACTTGAATTCTTAATCATGCTTTTAACATTTTATTTAACAAATCGTTTCATTAGGTTCTGTCATTCCTTTGAAAAGGCAAGGATTCCCACTTTCAGAATTTTGAAATGAAAACATGTTTATTCAAAGAGGGAAAATAGTTCAGACTTAGTATTATGAAATAAGTAAAGGTTTCAGAAAAGGATTTGTTTAGATTTGCACAGATGGTGATGGCACCTTTTATTAAAAAACAATCAGCAGTGCTAAGGAAATTTACGCAAAAGTACTAGATAAAAGTGTGGAAATGCGTGCCTTTCAGTGTATGTACTCTTTTTTGGTGGTCGTTTGGATAATCAGACCATTTGAATGGCTGAGAGCACATTTAAATTCTGTGGAGCGCCACATTTGGCTGAAACAACTCTTTAATGTGCAATTAGTTTCTAGAGTAAAATGTTATATGAGGGGGATCTTTATATTGGGCTTTTATATTTTTTTAAATGTTCACATTTCTTTCTATTAAATGCCATCATAATACCACGTTTATATTGTTGCCTCTCTTAAAATCAAAGCCACCTTGATGTTATTCTTTTAGGGATACATCAAGATTTGAGCAGTGTGTATAGTGATTAAAATGTGTTCTTGAAGAGCATACTGTAATAGACTGGCTTAGACAGCAAGAACATAAAAATATAATAGCTTTTGTATAAAGATTTTCTTTTGCTATATGAAAATCAAGGATTTGGTTTTTTTCTGGCTTTTATGGAGGAATGAAGAGGGTTATCTCCTTCTAAGAGTAATTTTTGATTATCTTATAGCAATAACGTCACCATTCTTTTCAGAAGATAAATACACCTTGTATAGGAAATCAGACATAATTTTCTTGGGAGTCCCCTTTATAACTTAGCTTTTTCTTCCACTTGAGAAAATTCCTATATTTTCAGATTATTTCATCTTGAACTTTTTTGAGCTTTTGTGCAATGTAATATTTTATTGATCCGTCTTTGTACATTTTCATTTTATTTCATATGTCTATTTCCCACCTATCTGTCTGAATCAGCTATTTCAGATTTTGAATTCATTGGTTAAAAAATAGTTACTTTATATATCTCCTCATGGGTTTGTTTTAAATAGTTTTGCATTTTAATCTATTATGCTATGGAAATTATTCTGAAGTTTGTATTCCCTTTTTAAGCCTGCCTTAGTCTGTTTTTTGTCATTTTTTTATGGTTTAAGGAAGAGCACACCAAACTTGATATTTTTGTTTATTTTGAGGAACAAGATAAACTTGTTTTTTTCTTCTCTCTTAAGGGAAGAACTACATTGAGTTAGTAGCTACTATTTCAAGTTTCCTTAAATCATCCAGTATGTATCAGGGCTACAATTGGGGGGAGGGGCTAATCCTTTTTGCTGTTCTGAGCTACTATTGTCAACTGCTGTTGTACATACTGTTATGTGTAAGGGCGTAAATATATTTATTATGTTTGTAAAATTCATTCTGTACAATTGCAGATCAAGGTTGCTCTTCTGTGATATATGGGATATTATGTTTTAAAGACCATCTTGGAATACAATTAGAGAACTTAGTATTTTGATGTACTAAGACCTATTTTAAGTTTAATATTTTACCTTTGCAAAAACTTTAATTAAAGATGTTATTTAAAAAAAGTAATGCTGCTTGCTTTGCTTACTAGCTTATAACATTGTTATATAGATAACTGAATAAAACTATACAGCTTAGAAAGGAAAATGCTTTACATTGTTAGTAAGTTCCATTTATCAAAAGAAGGTATCATTAAATTCTGTACCTTTAAAATAAGTAGGGTGGGATATCAGTCTGAATATTAAACTGTGTTATAAATTCTTAGTAGCTTTTAAAGAGAATAGTTGTGATTTCTAGGCACACAGGAATTTAAATTGGGCTAAATTCGCACCAACAAAGTGTAGCTAAAATTGATTATAATTAACATACTGTATTAAGTGAGTATTTCTACTCCAAAGAATAGATTACTTAGGATAAAATTATTTGAGAACATACTTGTTCTTTAATTCCACCATTTAGCCATATGTTTTTCTTTTAGTTCAGAGTTTGTAAATAATTGCATAAAAGGAGAATCAGATTATTAAGGCTTGTATTACATATTGAATATATTTTGTGTTATTTTAGAAGGTATTAAATAATTAGCAAGTATTTTAATTTATAGTTAATTCAAATGAATCATTAAGAAGCTTGCTTTTTTGTAATTTTTTAATCCTGTTACGGACTACTTTATCTAGGAAACATGCAAATTTTAACCATTAAAACAATCATAATAAAGATATTTTGTTTATTGCCAGCAAATCTTGTATTTTTGCAGTTTAATTCAAGCTCCTACATTGATGATCTTAACCTTTTTGGCCTCAGTTTCTCCATATGTAAAATGACAACAATACGGTTTTGAGGGTTACAGATAATACATGTAAAGATTTTTGTAGTACATGGTAAGCACTCAGATATCCCAGTTATTTACTTAATTTCATAATTATATAATTTAAAATGACCTGTGGAGTGGAAAAAATGTTTTTAAATGGTCAAAAATAGCAAAAGAGGATGTGGTCATTTAAGGAGGGGCAGTGAAAGATGTGGATACAGCCAAGCAAATTAAGCCTGGGAGGCTGAGTTAGTGAAGCAGTGCATCTGTCTGTAGCAGAAAGTGCCTGAGGGAAGAAAAGGGAATGATGGGTATGGATAGGAATAATGAAACACACCAGAAGGCTTTAAGCCTTTTTTCCCTAAAGTACACATTTCTTGAACTATATGTCTAAAATAGGTTGAATTTTCCCAAAGCTAAAACTGTAGTAGCAATACAACATTTTAAAAATTGCATGATTTTCCTAAATATCAGTGGATTCTGCTCATTTCATTTATGGAGAAAATGATAATGAAGTATTATTGTTATTGAAAGACATTGAAACTATGATTACATCACTCTTGAGTCTGACCTGAACCCCTCTCCTAGGGATTGTTGGCAATCCTATTTCTGGAGGCAAATGACCTTCGTGTCAATGCTCCTACTTCCCAGCCAAGGAAGAAGATGCATATATAAATAATCGATTACTTTTGTTTCTGTTCTGAAATACAAATTTTCTTAGTTTGAAAGGGAATCGAGCACAGAGCACGTATTAACTCACTCATTCAACTCTTTCTGGTGATCTCCCATAGGCCAGGAATTATGATCAGTATTATTGGTTGAGCCAGAGATGAGTTAAGATGGTTGCTGCCTTTAAAAGCAGTGAGGTTGGATTGTCTGGGTTCTAATCCCAGTGTGGATTGGATTGACAGCAGTGTGAGGTTCAGCATGTTACCAAACCTACTACCTCATAGAGTTGTTGTGAAGATAAGATAATGACATGATGCATACATTGCATTTAGCACAGTCCTTGGCACATGTGTATATATTCATATGTTTTAGTAAGGCATAATGGTCACAGAAAAGATCTTAGACTGGCTAGGTTACTTTGAATTTTCCTTATCTTCCTGTCATAATAGAAACACATTTACCGTCTGGGTTGATGCTTCTGCAGATTAAAGTGAGAGATCAGAGGACTAAAAACTAGCAATTATAGAGAGCATTGAGCTTGCCAATGGAGATAGTTCTAGAAGCTTACTTATAATTGTGGTCTTCACATTGGAAATGAATTCTGTGTTCTTGAATCAAGAATGTTCTGGATCTTATCTTCAAACTTCATCTTTCTGAAGGTTGTTGAGTTGAAATGATACCAGTTACCTCCAGATCACTTCTGGAATAGCCTGCTTTCTTAAACACAATGTGACAGAAATGGAATTCATTCCAATTTCTATTTCCCCACTCCCAAACCTTGTGTGTATCAGTGACTACTGTTCTCCCAGTCACTGGGATTTGAAGCTCAGTATCATCTAACCTAGCCTTCACCAATATTAGGAAATAGCTCTACTGCCTACCAGGTGCTCAAAACAAAACCCACAAGTTTTTCCTGATTCCCTTCTTTTTTTCACTGGTACCTAGTCTGAGTCATCCCAAAACCAGACTGGCATCAACTAGTCTGACAAAGGTTACACTTGGCCTTTCCTATGAAGGGAGAACCTGGGGCAGCTTCCCTCAACTGGATCTCAACTGTGTCTGTCAGAGCCCCTGGCCTTGGCCTACCTCTCTGTGACAGGATGTGGGCCCCTGCTCGTTCTTCTCTTGCTGACCCTGACTTTGTAGATTTGTCTCACTAAAGCCCATTTCTTAATATATGTTCACGTGGAAGTGAGTCACAGTTTGGATGCACAGGTGGCAACTACATAGGGGGACCCACCTAGTAACACAAAGTTCAGTTCTTAAGCAAGGCATTTACACCTGATTTCCCCCTATGCCTGCAACATTCTCCCTTTAGATCTTTATATTCCCATTGTCAAGAACATTCCTTTTGCTTCTACCATGCTTTGTCTTACATTGACATTTCTTGATTTGTCCTTCCTCATCCCAGGTTTGCTCTAACTCACTTTTTATGAAGACAATTGATATTTTTAATGTAATGGACTCTTAAAAATTAATAGAATACTCCATTAGGGAAAATACATATATATAACAAGTCAATTCATCTAAGAAGAAAGGCAGATGTCAATTAATTGACCCTTTTAATAATTGAAAGAATACAAAATAAGACAATAATAATAAATCATTTTTCCATCTACCCAATGACCAGAAAAAAATACCCTGTCATGGTCAGGGTGTGGATAAATGGACCTTATGATGCATTGCTTGCAGGAGTGCAAAATGGTAACAGCTTTCTGGTGGACAGAGGGAACAAGAAACACAAGTGTTTCAAGTCAGGACAGGGGGATGGTGTCTACAAGGTACAAAAGTTATCTAAGAGGCTCAAGTGTAGTAAGCATGGGAGAGGACAGATATTTGGGGGAGAAATAAAA